TGATAAAGCGGCGGCGTGGACGTGCTGGGACGAGCGGTCTTCATCGAGCAGGGGCCGGCGTCGGTGGTCGATTACGGGCCGAGTTTTGCTCCGGACGGCCGACTGGGGAGGCTCGGTGGATGACGAGCACAGCTTGTCACACAGCTCCTCGGCTTTCCGTCGGGCTGCGGCGGCGACATATTCGCCGGGTGTTGGCAGCGGAGGGCGGCTAGGTGCTGCTGCTGCCGGCGGCATTTGGGCTGCAGAGTCCTTGTCGGTCGTCGATAAGGGAGGACGGCTCGTCGACGGCCCTTCAGGTCGGCGTCGGGCGACGACGGCTGCGTAACCTCCGGGCGCCTAGGTGCTACTGCCGGTGACACCTCGGCTGCAGCGCATCGTACCTGGGGCCCGGCCCGAAGATCTCCTCAGCAACTCCGCGCCGTCCTGGTCCGGTGAATCCCCAAAGAGATCGTCCATGCACCGGGGCCACTCGCTGATAAAGCGGCGGCGTGGACGTGCTGGGACGAGTGGTCTTCTGCCATCGTGGCGGATTCGTCGAGCAGGGGCCGGCGTCAGTGGTTGATTCCGGTCTCGTTGGCCATCTGCTCGAACAGATTCGCTGAAAGGTCGCCGAAGCACTGTACGGCTGCTCGCAACGGGGCCAGTGGCGGTAGAGGGGAAGAGGGGCCGGCGTCGGTGGTCGATTACAGGCCGAGTGTTGCTCCGGAATGGCCGACTGGGGAGGCTCTTTGGATGACGAGCACAGCTCGTCGCACAGCTCATCGGCTTTCCGTCGGGCTGCGGCGACGTATTCGCCGGGGGTCGGCAGCGGCAGCTCGTCGACGGCCCTTCAGTTCGGCGTCGGGCAACGACGGCTGCGTAACCTCCGGGCGGCTAGGTGCTGCTGCCGGTGACACCTAGGCTGCAGCGCAACGTATCTGGGGCCCGGCCCGAAGATCTCCTCAGCAACTCCGCGCCGTCCTGGTCCGGTGAAACCCCGAAGAGGTCGTCCATGGACCGGGGCCACTCGCTGATGAAGCGACGGCGTGGACGTGCTGGGACGTGCGGTCTTCTGCCATCGTGGCGGATTCGTCGAGCAGGGGCCGACGTCGGTGGTTGATTCCGGTCTCGTTGGCCATCTGCTCGAACAGATTCGGTGGAAGGTCGCCGAAGCCCTCTACGGCTGCTCGCAGCGGGGCTAGTGGCGGTGGCTCCTGGTCCGAGGGCGGCTGCTTCTCCCAGTTGGCAGGCGCTTGAGTGGCCTGGTATGGTAGTGGACGCAGCCATGTAGTAGCCACTCGCAGCGGACCAATGGTGGGGGCCCCTGGTCCGAGGGTGGCTGTTTCTCCTCGTCAGCTGGCGCTTGGGCGGTCTGGGATGGGCGTGGACGTGGCGGTGTGGTTGCCATCCGCAGCGGGCCGAAGCGGCGATGAGCCCACACCGGGGCCACTCGCTAATGAAGCGGCGGTGTGGACGAGCGGTCTTCTGCCATCGTGGCGGCTTCGTCGAGCAGGGGTCGGCGTCGGTGGTCGATTAGGGTTGGAGTGTTGCTCCGGACCGGCCGACTGGGAAGGAAAATTATATATATATATATATATATATATATAAATAAATAAATATGTGTATGTATATATATATATATATATATATGAATAAATATAAATTATACTATTTATAATTATTAAATTTATTTTATGTTATAAAAATATTTTATAAATATAAATATAATTAAATTAATAAAGTTTTATTTTAGCTTATAAATTTGTTATTAATTTGATTTATATGTAAATTTTTGTGTGAATTTATATTTATTTTAATAATAAATATATAATTTTATTCGCAGTAATTAATTTTATTGATTAAAGAAATTTAGAAATAGTAATATTAAAGAGTATTGACTAAATTGGTGCCAGCAGTCGCGGTTATACCAATAATACAAATAAATTTTTTTAGTAATAGTTAAATTAATTTAATAAAATAAAATTAAATATATTAAGTGAAATTTTATATTTAAAATATTTTTTTTTAAAATAATTGAAACTAGAAAATTTTAATAAAAAACTAGGATTAGATACCCTATTATTTAAAATGTAAATATTTATACTAAAGTAGTAATAGTTATGTTTCTTGAAACTTAAAAAATTTGGCGGTATTTTAGTCTATCCAGAGGAACCTGTTTTGTAATCGATAATCCACGATGGACCTTACTTAAGTTTGTAATCAGTTTATATACCGTCGTTATCAGAATATTTTATAAGAATAATAATATTCAATAATTTTAATAAAAATTTATATCAGATCAAGGTGTAGCTTATATTTAAGTAATAATGGGTTACAATAAATATATTTAAACGAATAAAATTATGAAAAAATTTTTGAAGGTGGATTTGGTAGTAAAATTATATAGATTAATAATTTGATTTTAGCTCTAAAATATGTACACATCGCCCGTCGCTCTTATTATTAAGGTAAGATAAGTCGTAACATAGTAGATGTACTGGAAAGTGTATCTAGAATGACAATTTAAAGCTTATTAAGTAAAGCATTTCATTTACATTGAAAAGATTTTTGTGCAAATCAATATAAATTGATTAGATTTTATTTATTAATTGTTAATATTATTTTTTAAATTATTAGAAATAACTATAAATTATAAAGTTTTAGTATTGTTTAAAGAAAAAATAATTTTAATAATAGTTTATTAGTATTGTAAAAGAAAATTGAAATAATATGAAAAATTTTTATTTTAAAAGAAAATTTAATTTATTGTACCTTGTGTATCAGCGTTTATTAAATAAAAAATAAATATTTATTTTTCTCGATTTTAAAAGAGTTAATATAATATTTAAGTTAATGTAGTAAAATTATTTAAAATATTATATTAGAAATGAAATGTTATTCGTTTTTAAAGGTATCTAGTTTTTTAAGAAATAAATTTAATTTAGAAATTATAAATTTATTAATTTATTTTATTAATTTAATAATTTTATAATTTTAATATTTTATGGGATAAGCTATAAAATAAATTTTTAAAAATAATAAATAATTTTAATAAATATATGCTTAGAATTAGCAATTATTAAAAAATGTGTTATAATTTATTTTATAAATTATATTATTTATTAAATTTTAAATATTTATTAAAATATTAATTTTAATTTTAAAAATTAAGCAATAATGATAGAATTAGTATAATATATTGTTAAAATAATTATAAATGAAAAGTTTAAATAAAGAATTCGGCAAAAATAATATTCGCCTGTTTAACAAAAACATGTCTTTTTGAATTAAATATAAAGTCTAACCTGCCCACTGATAATTTTTAAATGGCCGCAGTATTTTGACTGTGCAAAGGTAGCATAATCATTAGTCTTTTAATTGAAGGCTGGAATGAATGGTTGGACGAAATATTAACTGTTTCATTTAAAATTAAAATAGAATTTTATTTTTTAGTCAAAAAGCTAAAATAAATTTAAAAGACGAGAAGACCCTATAAATCTTTATATTTTGTTTATTTTAATTATAAAGATTAATTTAATTTTAATAAATTAAAATATTTTATTGGGGTGATATTAAAATTTAAAAAACTTTTAATTTTTAAAAACATTAATTTATGAATAATTGATCCATTAATAATGATTAAAAAATTAAGTTACTTTAGGGATAACAGCGTAATTTTTTTGGAGAGTTCATATCGATAAAAAAGATTGCGACCTCGATGTTGGATTAAGATATAATTTTGGGTGTAGCCGTTCAAATTTTAAGTCTGTTCGACTTTTAAATTCTTACATGATCTGAGTTCAAACCGGTGTAAGCCAGGTTGGTTTCTATCTTTAAAAATTTGTAATATTTTAGTACGAAAGGACCAAATATTAAAATAATTATATTTAAAATAATGAATATTATTAATATTATATAAATATAAACTATTTTGGCAGATTAGTGCAATAAATTTAGAATTTATTTATGTAATTTTATATTACAAATAGTACTTGTTTTATATAGAATTTATTTTATCTTTAATTGGAAGTTTATTATTAATTATTTGTGTATTAGTGAGTGTTGCTTTTTTAACTTTATTAGAACGAAAAGTTTTAGGATACATTCAAATTCGTAAAGGTCCAAATAAAGTTGGGTTAATAGGAATTCCTCAACCTTTTTGTGATGCAATTAAATTATTTACAAAGGAACAAACTTATCCTTTATTGTCTAATTATTTAAGATATTACATTTCTCCAATTTTTTCTTTATTTTTATCTTTATTTGTTTGAATATGTATACCTTTTTTTGTTAAATTATATTCTTTTAATTTAGGTGGTTTATTTTTTTTATGTTGTACTAGATTAGGAGTTTATACAGTTATAGTAGCAGGTTGATCTTCAAATTCTAATTATGCTTTGTTAGGAGGATTACGAGCTGTTGCTCAAACTATTTCTTATGAAGTTAGTTTAGCATTAATTTTATTATCTTTTATTTTTTTAATTGGTAGTTATAATATGATTTATTTTTATTATTATCAAATTTATATTTGATTTTTTATTATTTTATTTCCTATAGCTTTAGTATGATTAACAATTTCTTTAGCTGAAACTAATCGTACTCCATTTGATTTTGCTGAAGGAGAATCAGAATTAGTTTCTGGATTTAATGTGGAATATAGAAGAGGAGGATTTGCTTTAATTTTTATAGCTGAATATGCAAGAATTTTATTTATGAGAATATTGTTTTGTGTAATTTTTTTAGGTTGTGATGTATTTAATTTATTATTTTATGTAAAATTAACATTTATTTCTTTTGTTTTTATTTGAGCTCGTGGAACTTTGCCTCGATTTCGTTATGATAAATTAATATATTTAGCTTGAAAATGTTTTTTATCTTTTTCTTTAAATTATTTATTATTTTTTATTGGTTTTAAAATTTTATTATTTTCTTTATTATAATGAATTTTTTTTAGTAAAGTTAATAGAAAATTAAATTCTATCTTATGTTTTCAAAACATATGCTTGTTCAAGCTCATTAACTAATTAATTTAATAAATTATCTCATCATTTATTTACTAAAGGATTAATTAAATAATATAAAAAATATACAACTGTTAAAATTTGTCCAATTAATACATAAGGTTCTTCTACAGGCCGAGCTCCAATTCAAGTTAATAAAATTACTGTTACTACTATTATTCAAAATAAAATTTGATTAATAGGATAAAATTGAATTCCTCGGAATTTTCTTAGATTATAAAATGGTAAAATTATTAAAATTGCAATAGATAAAACTAATGCAATTACTCCTCCTAATTTATTAGGAATAGATCGTAAAATTGCATAAGCAAATAAAAAATATCATTCAGGTTGAATATGTGCAGGTGTAACTAATGGATTAGCTGGAATAAAATTATCTGGATCTCCTAATAAATTTGGTCTAATCAATACTAATGAAATTAAAATAAAAATTATTACAATAAATCCAACAATATCCTTAAATGTAAAATAAGGATGGAATGGAATTTTATCAATATTAGAATTTAATCCAATTGGATTATTTGATCCAGTTTGGTGAAGGAATAATAAATGAATTATTGTTATTGCAAGAACAATAAAAGGTAAAATAAAATGAAAAGTAAAAAATCGAGTTAATGTTGCGTTATCTACTGCAAATCCTCCTCATAATCATTGAACTAAATCTATTCCTAAATAAGGAATAGCAGATAATAGATTAGTAATTACTGTTGCTCCTCAAAATGATATTTGTCCTCAAGGTAATACATATCCTATAAAAGCTGTTCCTATTACTAAAAATAAAATAATAACTCCGATTAATCATGTAGGTGTAAATAAATAAGAACCATAATAAATTCCTCGTCCTACATGTAAATAAATACAAATAAAAAAGAATGATGCTCCGTTAGCATGTAAAGTTCGTAATAATCATCCATAATTTACATCACGGCAAATATGATTAACTCTGTAAAAAGCTAAATTTACATCAGCGGTATAATGTATTGCTAAAAATAATCCAGTTAAAATTTGAATAATTAAACATAATCCTAATAATGATCCAAAATTTCATCATCTTGAAATATTAATTGGAGCTGGTAAATCAACTAATGCATTATTAGCAATTTTAAATAATGGGTGTGAAGTTCGTAAAGGTTTATTCATTAATTATTAAGATATTATACGAATAGGTCCTTTAAATAATTTAGTAATTTTTACAACAACAATTAATGTAATTAATAAATAATTTATTAATAAAATAGTAATAAAATTTGTTGGAAAATTATATAATTTATTTAAAGATAAAGAATTTTCTAAAAAATATGAATTTTGGTTAAAAATTGATTCTATTTCATTATTTATCAAAAATAGTGAAATAGAACTTTTATCAATTAAGAATGAAATAATAAATAAAATTAATAATGTTCTAGTTGAAAATAAAGTTAATTTAATTGATAAATTAAATATTTCATTAGAAGCTAAAGAAGTTACATAAATAAATAATACTAATATTCCTCCTAGAAAAATTAAAAATAAAATATAAGAGTATCAAAAACTTTTAGTTATTAATCCTGAAATTAAACAAATAAAAATTGTTTGGATTAATAGTGTTAAACCTATAGCTAATGGATGAATTATATTTAAAAAAATAATTGATGTTGTTAAAATTAATGAATATAATATTAATTGAATAATTTCAAGAGGTAGTTTATTTAAAATATTAATTTTGGGGATTAATGAAAAAGAAATTTCTTTTCTCTTGAAGTTTTAAAAGAAAAATTCTTATTTTTGATTTACAAGACCAATGTTTTTATTAAACTATTAAAACTAATGATTATAATTTTATATTGAAGTTTACCTATAATTTTATTTATTTTAGGTTTATTTTGTTTTGTTTCTAATCGAAAACATTTACTTTCAATACTTTTAAGTTTAGAATTTATTGTTTTAATATTATTTTTTATATTATTTATTTATTTAAATATATTAAATTATGAAACTTATTTTAGAATAATATTTTTAACATTTAGAGTATGTGAAGGAGCTTTAGGTTTATCAATTTTAGTATCTATAATTCGTACACATGGTAATGATTATTTTCAATCTTTTAGAATTATATAATGTTAAAAATTATTTTTTTTTTATTATTTTTATTACCTATTTGTTTTATTAATAATATATATTGAATGGTACAAATTATATTATTTTTTATTAGATTTATTTTTCTATTAATAAATAATTTTATAAATTATTGATCTGAAATTTCTTATTTTTTAGGATGTGATATACTTTCTTATGGATTAGTATTATTGAGTTTGTGAATTTGTTCTCTTATACTTTTAGCTAGAGAAAGTGTTAATAAATATAATAATTATAAAAATTTATTTTTATTAAATATTGTTATTTTATTATTGTTACTAGTTTTAACTTTTAGAAGAATAAGATTATTTATATTTTATTTATTTTTTGAAAGTAGATTAATTCCTACACTATTTTTAATTTTAGGATGGGGTTATCAACCTGAACGTTTACAAGCTGGAGTATATTTATTATTTTATACTTTATTGGTTTCTTTACCTATATTAATTGGAATTTTTTATTTGATAAATAAAACTGGATCAATAAATTTTTATTTAATAAATAATTTTATATTTAATTATGATTTATTGTATTTTTGTTTATTATGTGCTTTTTTAGTAAAAATACCAATATTTTTAGTTCATTTATGATTACCTAAGGCTCATGTAGAAGCTCCTGTTTCTGGTTCTATAATTTTAGCTGGAATTATATTAAAATTAGGAGGATATGGATTGTTACGAGTTATTTCATTTCTTCAATTAATAAATTTAAAATATAGATTTGTTTGAATTAGAATTAGATTAGTTGGGGGTGTTTTAGTAAGTTTAGTTTGTTTACGTCAAACTGATTTAAAATCTTTAATTGCTTATTCTTCAGTTGCTCATATAGGAATTGTTTTAGCTGGATTATTAACTATAACTTATTGAGGATTATGTGGTTCTTATACTTTAATAATTGCTCATGGGTTGTGTTCATCAGGATTATTTTGTTTAGCAAATGTATCTTATGAACGATTAGGAAGACGAAGTTTATTAATTAATAAGGGGTTATTAAATTTTATACCTGCTATAACTTTATGATGATTTTTATTAAGTTCAGCTAATATAGCAGCTCCTCCTACATTAAATCTATTGGGTGAAATTTCTTTATTAAATAGAATTGTATCTTGATCATGAGTTTCTATAATTATATTATCTTTGTTATCTTTTTTTAGAGCTGCATATACTTTATATTTATATTCATTTAGTCAACATGGAAAATTATTTTCGGGAGTTTATTCTTTTAGAGGAGGTAAAATTCGTGAATATTTATTAATACTATTACATTGATTACCTTTAAATTTATTAATTTTAAAATCTGATGCTTGTATATTAATGTTATATTTAAATAGTTTAAAAAAAATACTAATTTGTGGTGTTAGTGATATGAAATAATTCATTTTAGATCGTGAAATATTTATCAATTTGTAGAATTAGATTTATTAATTTAATTTCTATTAGTTTGTCTTGTTTTTTATTAAGTTTATATTTTTTATTAAATAATATAATTTATTTTATTGAATGAGAAGTAGTTTCATTAAATTCTATAAGAATTGTAATGACTTTTTTATTTGATTGAATAAGTTTATTATTTATATCTTTTGTTTTAATAATTGCTTCTTTAGTTATTTTTTATAGTAAAGAATATATAGAAAGAGATGAAAATATTAATCGATTTATTATATTAGTATTAATATTTGTTTTATCAATAATATTATTAATTATTAGTCCTAATTTAATTAGTATTTTATTAGGATGGGATGGTTTAGGATTAGTTTCTTATTGTTTAGTAATTTATTTTCAGAATGTAAAATCTTATAATGCTGGTATATTAACTGCTTTATCTAATCGAATTGGAGATGTTGCTTTTTTATTAGCTATTGCTTGAATATTAAATTATGGAAGATGAAATTATATTTTTTATTTAGAAGTTATGCAAAATGAATTTGAAATATTAATTATTGGAAGATTAGTAATATTAGCAGCTATAACTAAAAGAGCTCAAATTCCATTTTCATCTTGATTACCAGCAGCTATAGCAGCTCCAACTCCTGTTTCTGCTTTAGTTCATTCATCAACTTTAGTAACAGCTGGTGTTTATTTATTAATTCGATTCAATATTATTTTAAGAACTTCTTGATTAGGTCAATTATTACTACTATTATCTGGTTTGACTATATTTATAGCTGGATTAGGGGCTAATTTTGAATTTGATTTAAAAAAAATTATTGCTTTATCAACTTTAAGTCAATTAGGTTTAATAATAAGAATCTTATCTATAGGATTTTATAAATTAGCAATATTTCATTTATTAACTCATGCTTTATTTAAAGCTTTATTATTTATATGTGCTGGAGCTATTATTCATAATATAAATAATTCTCAAGATATTCGATTAATAGGGGGATTAAGTATTCATATACCTTTAACTTCAGCTTGTTTTAATGTATCTAATTTAGCTTTATGTGGAATGCCTTTTTTAGCTGGATTTTATTCAAAAGATATAATTTTAGAAATTGTTATAATTAGAAATATTAATTTATTTTCTTTCTTTTTATATTTTTTTTCAACTGGATTGACTGTTATATATTCTTTTCGTTTAGTTTATTATTCTATAACAGGAGAATTAAATTGTGGAAGTTTAAATATATTGAATGACGAAAGTTGAGTGATATTACGTGGGATACTAGGTTTATTAATTATAAGAATTGTTGGTGGGAGAATATTAAATTGATTAATTTTTCCGATTCCTTATATAATTTGTTTACCTTTATATATAAAATTATTAACTTTATTTGTTTGTATTTCAGGAGGAATATTTGGTTATTTAATTTCTATAACAAAGATTTATTTTTTAAATAAATCTTTATTAAATTATAATATTTCTATATTTTTAGGATCTATGTGATTTATACCTTATATTAGAACTTATGGAATAATTTTTTATCCATTAAATTATGGTCAATTAATTGTTAAAAGATTTGATCAAGGTTGATCAGAATATTTTGGTGGTCAACATTTATATCAAAAATTAGTAAATTATTCTCAAACTTTATTTTTAATACATAATAATAGTTTAAAAATTTATTTAATATTATTTGTATTTTGAATTTTAATTTTATTTAATTTTTTATTATTTTTATATTCAAATAGCTTATATTTAGAGTATGACACTGAAGATGTTATGGAGATTGTTATAATCTTTGAATATAATGAATTAATTTTAGTAATTTATAAAAAAAAAGATTTTTATTTTTACAATGAAAATGTAAAGTTTTATTTAAACTATATAAATAGAAGTATAAATGGAATTTAACCATTAAAAGAAAAAAGTTAGCAGCTTTTACTTGATCACCATACTTCCTTAATTGAGGCTATAGCCTACTTATATCATTAACAGTGATACGCCTCTATTTTGGCTTCAATTAAAGAATAAGGGTAAAATTACCTAAGGTTAGGTCGAAACTAACTGCAATTTATCGCTTCATATTCTTTAATAAGGTAGATTGAATATTCAATACTTTTTAAATGCAAATCAAATGTTATAATTAACTACAACCCTATTAGTTTGATCAATTTAATATTCCTTGATTTCATTCATGATATAAACCAATCAATAAAATTAAAATAAAAATAATTGAAGTAATTGTTCAAATTAAAATATTAGAATATTTTAAAATAATAATTATAGGTAGAATTAAAGCAATTTCTACATCAAAAATTAAAAAAATAATAGTAATTAAAAAAAATCGTAAAGAAAATGGTAAACGAGAAGATGATTTTGGATCAAATCCACATTCAAATGGTGATCTTTTTTCTCGGTCAATTAAAGCTTTTTTAGAAAGAATTGAAGCTAAAAATATTACAATTGTTGTAATTATTAAAATTAAAGAACCAATTAAAATAATTGAAAAAATTATTTATACTATTTATTAATAGACCTTATGATTGGAAGTCAAATATACTTTTATACTATATAAATATTAATTAGTAATTAATTATCCACCTCATCAGTAGATTGTAATATATAAAAATAATCAAACTACATCTACAAAATGTCAA